GACTTGATCTGTGCTGTGCGCGACGTCACTGCAGCAGTGATATGGTTGTGGAGTTCGAGGCTCAGTTGGCTCTGGGGGGGGTCATGGGTGGGGGATGCCGGGGGGGTGTCCTGCGCTGGCAGTGGGCCCGTGTATTGGTTCTCAGGGGCTAGGCTAGGAAAGTGTTGAGCCTGCTGTGGTGTCTCTGGTCCTATCTGTACTGGTTGATGGGCGGGGTCGAGGGGAGGCACGGTCGGGGTCTCATGGGCCTCTGAGGCCTCGCGCATGATGGCGTCCGCCACTCCATTGGGCAGGTTGGGTCCTTTTTCCTTCCGCAGTTTAGTAGAGCGCAGGCGATAATGCGCCTGGGTAGCGGGGGCAATTCTTTTCTTGATGCCCGTGGTGCTCATTGTGTTGAATACACACACACATCCATTCTTAAAGTGCTTGTTAGTACCCATCGGGTCACGTGCTTGACCGCCCTCGCTTTCTGCCCGGTAGACATAGCTAGCCTGAGCCGATAGGCACTCAATCGAATCAACTAGTTATTAACTACGTTTGCCCACTAAAAGTGCTGACAGGCAATCAAACAAGACAAATCACTCTTATGCTCCCTCTGACCTATTTTTAATATTGAAATTGATATGATCAATTGGAAATACATATAATGCCAAATACAGAACCTACCAGTTGAGACTTTGTGCGGCGCCATAGTCGCCCCGGACATCTCCAGGAATATGTCCTAGTACCACGCGCGCTTTTCTTTTTTTTTCTTTTCTTTTTCCTTTCTTTTTTCTTTTTTTTAAACCATGAGTCTCAAAATTTGGATTTGGATGCATGTGCTGCGGCAGAAGAATGAACTCGGAGATACCTTGATTTTGAAACATACCCTCTAAATAACAATGCATTTCTTCGCATTATTTCTACACATGCTCTCACAAAATTGCCCACTCTATTTTCTTTCTCTCAATCAACTTGCATCGGCCAGCCCAACTCCCCCAATTTCCTCGCAATAATGTCCTTCCAATTGCCATCAGAAAATGACCCATTCTACAAACGCTTCTTCATGACAAACCTGCTCTTCATTCAGTTCTCCGTTGAGGTTATGCTCCCCATTGCAATTGGTATCGTTGTCATCGGAATGATTGTGATGCTGTGCGGTATAGTGCTGGGATTGATCCCGAATCCTACCAAGAACACCGACGACAACAGCAGCGGCAGCAAAGGTGGCAATAAGGAGGCCCAGGCCCATTCCAGCAATCCTACAAAAACGGTGGATGAGAAGACGCGCGTCGAGTTTGAGATGGAAGTGCTCCGGGAGATGTTACACGCACGACAGGAGATATTGGACAAGTTGAACTTGGTCAAGAGTGATTGAGATTAGAGGGGAGTAATTGTGGTGGTTGATGAGAGAGAGGAAGTCATTGAATATGGTAATAGAATGTTTTCACGAAAGTCACTTGTAACTTGTTGGATGCGAGTTCTCGAGACCCCATCGACACCATTCACCAGGCGCTCCCATTAGCAGTTCGATCCAAAGAGGAGTCGATGTAAATATCCAACATCGGGAGAACTAATATCAGAAGACCCAATATCTTTATCAGGATCAATATCGGGAGCTTTATCGGAGGACCCATTATCAATTTGGTGTGACGTTCTTAGCAATGGCAGCCCAGTCCAGACAAGTGAAAATTGTCAAGCCTCTACTCTCAATGAAAAATATCGATCCCAACTTGGGGGACGAGCCGGGACTTTCGCCTATAGCCTACGCTGGATGCAATGACCAGTATTCCGTGGTTAAGAGATTGCTCGCCACAGGAACCGTTGATCCAAACATGAAAGACTGCACAGGCCGCACGCCGCTTTACTGGACCATTAATAACGGATCAGAAACAACTGCGTCTCTATGCTTATTTCGGCCAGATGTCAATATTAATGCTGCCGGTGGATGGTAACCACAAGCTGAAAAAAGGATGGACCCCTCTCATGGCCGCTGTTGATAGAAGGTTCACAAAGCTTGTGGAGCTGCTTCTTGATATGCCTGACATCAATGCAGAGCATAAGTGCTGCTATGGGAAGACAGCGTTGCATCTTGCGGCTACCGATGGATCGGAGGATATCGTGCGACTTTTACTTGCGAAAGGGATAAAGCCTGACCCTAATGATTATTGTAATTGTACACCTCTAGTGATCGCTGCATCCCGTAGCCACCTGCCTATTGTGAAACTACTACGTGAAGCCGGAGCTTATGCGAACACTGAAACTGATACTGGTGATACTCCGATTTATGTGGCCTTCTACAGAAGACGTGACGATATAGTTCGAGTTCTGTTGGAGATGGAGAAGATGATCCCGGCTTCTCCAGGCAAAGGGATCAAAAGAAAACCTCGTTTTTCGGTGTCGGGTGTTGGGCCCCTTTCTCGATCGAGCAAATACTGGGCAGAAGCCAGTATACCATAAGTCCATGACGCAAAAGTTCGCCTTCCTCCCGTTACAATTATTTGTGTATCTTTAATGTAATTTTATAATCGAAGTATTCATACGCAGCCTTACCTGGCACTCTCCGTCCAAAGCGAGAAGACACATACTAGAATCGCGCTCCCATACAAATACAGCATGCCAAACCGCAGCCGATCTAGTCTCTATTGTAGATTCGCACGTTTATGTTACAAGAACTGTCTTTCACCCACAAGGAAGCTCACCATAGAACTGAAATGGCAAGTGGAGGCACTGGATTCCCTCTTGGATAGTTACCACGGCTACATTACTTCGTAAGCTAAATTCATACACCATATTGCTATCTCACACATTTCCTTATATCAGCAGTCATGTACACTATAGACATACTTTACTTATTCCTCCTCCCATTGAGACTGCCTAAATTGTTTATGCCATATTCTTTCTCATATCCCTTCACAATTAACGGAAGATGTGCCCAATCCCCAACGGAAAGTCCTCTACCAACTTAGAAGGGCCCACGCCCTCGGCTAAAAATCCCGACACAATCAAAGAGCAAGCTCATATGCCCAACCCGTCGCTTCAGGTGACGGCAGACCACCTATTGAAACAAATCGAAGCACCCGTACTGGCTCCCCAGAGAGGTGAGGTCCTGCTCCAGATCAAAGCGACTGGGATTTGTAGGTATGTGTTCCAACATCGCTCAAATGTGTATGTAGGTTCTTAGCTGATATTATGTTAGTTCCGATGTGCACTTCTGGAAGTCCGGCCGCATTGGCTCGCTTGTATTCGAGGATGATTGCATTCTGGGCCATGAAGCGTCTGGTGTGGTACTGAAAGTTGGCGAGGGGGTGAATGACTTGAAGACAGGTAAGCATCCGGTTATTTCCATTGGTTTTTTTCTTGATCTTCTTACAAGCTTTGATATCACAGGTGATCGTGTGGCTGTTGAGCCCGGCGTGCCGTGCGGCTTATGCTTTATGTGTGCTGACGGCCGGTACAATCTGTGTGCCGATGTCAAGTTTTCTGGAGTCTACCCTTACCACGGCACGATGCAGCGATACAAAACACACCCTGCTCACTGGGTGCATCGGTATGCAGACAACAATTCCTGTAGTCCAATATCAATCAAGTGCTAATAGTAAGCCTCACAGCCTACCAGACAATGTCAGCTACGCTGAAGGTGCATTGCTGGAGCCACTATCCGTGGTGATGAATGGCATCAGAAGTGCCGGACTCAGCCTGGGCCGCGGTGTGGCTATCTGTGGCGCCGGCCCAATAGGCTTGATCGCACTAGCAGCTGCCCGTGCCTCAGGTTCCCATCCACTGGTAATCACAGATATCGAGCCGCGCCGTCTGGCCTTCGCCAAAGAGTTTGTCCCCAGCTGCGTCACCTATCAGGTCAATACACAACTAGATGCGGAAGGAAACGGGCGCGCGATCCAGAAACTCTTTGGCTCTGACGAGTACTTTGCTCCAGAGACAGTTCTCGAGTGTACCGGTGTGGAGACGAGTGTTTGCACGGCTGCGTATGCGGTGCGTCGTGGAGGCACGGTTATGGCGATTGGTGTTGGGAGGGCGATTATGAATAACCTTCCGTTTATGCATATTTCCCTCGCAGAGGTAGGTTTTTCCCTATTCTCATTGCGACTTTTCCATATGAGAAGAAGGCAAATCCATTGACATCGCACAAATAATCTAGATCAAACTCAAGTTCATCAATCGCTATCGTGATACTTGGCCATCTTCCATTGCGTGCTTGTCAGGAGGCATTCTGGATCTCAAAAGACTGGTTTCGCACACCTTTCCGCTAGAACAGGCAAAGGACGCTTTGGAACTCGTCTCTGACACTCGAAATGGTAGTATCAAGGTGTTGGTGGTGGATGAAGTGGAGGCGACACTTTAGTTAACACTTTTGCAACCTGCAAAACTAAAATTATTACTTAGAAAACACGTAAAAAGAATATTAAAATTAATACGTATGCAGCATGTCTTCATAGTAGTTGATGCGAATAGTGATTATGAGCAATACAGGATACCGGATTCAGCGTTATGCAAAGCTGTTCTAGCGAAAGACTCAATTGCTTTTTAGCTCCATACCCACTGGGGGCCCAGGACAGGCCAATTTATCTTCATAATCACCTAAGAACAGGCCAAATCATGTAAAGTTCAACACAACGCTTAGGGCTGCCCAAGTGGGTCACGCGTGAGGTTGCCACGGGCAGCGGCAGCGCTTGCAGTTGCCATTTTGTGCTTCCACTTACCTTGACTCGGACGTCATACTTCGACTTGCCTTCAGCAGGGACGATGAAATGGCCCGCTTTTTGCCTTTGAGGAAAGTCCGGAAAGGGAGGGCATTTTGGGGTCCCTGAAAGTATGTACTGCATGACGTTGCCGTGCACATTAAGGAATCTCAGATAAATAAAGCTCTGCCTTGAACATTTAACCCTGGACTCAATTCATGTTCCACTGGACTACATTATCACACAGCTGCCGCTCACGAGGACGCCCCCAGAAACCAGCAAAAGGAATATAACAAAAAAAAGAAGCAAAATGGGATTGAAATCACCGATTCCTATGAAGGACTTGAAATTCAACGTCCCCGTGTCATACAACATACACGTGGACCGGGAGCTCCTCGAGCAAACCAAACAGAAGCTATCCCTGGCCCGATATCCAGAGGAGCAATCCGACTTTGGAGAGGATAATTGGGGACAGGGCGCTAAAGTGTCCCGGGTAAAGCAATTGACCGAGTTCTGGAGAGACCAGTACAACTGGGAAGAGGAAGAGGTGAGTTGATAATGAGAATCGCAAGGTAGTTCATTGTGTTAATGAATATATCTACTAGCGACGGCTGAATGCCGCTTTCAATCACTTCCTGGTGAAAATCGATGCCCCCGGCTACGGGCCCCTGGTGATACACTACACGCACAGCCAGTCTGCCCGCTCTAATGCCATTCCCTTGCTATTATCGCATGGCTGGCCTGGCTCCTTCGTGGAAGCTATTCGTGTTGTCCGCCCGCTCACGGAGCCCGAAAGCGCAGCCAATCCAGCATTCAACGTAGTCGCGCCCTCGATACCAGGCTTCGGCTTCTCCCCCGCTCCCACAAAGTCAGGCGTCGGCCCCAACGTCGTTTCACGCGCCTACAAGATCCTAATGACCGAAGTCTTGGGATATCCAAAATTCGTAACCCAGGGCGGTGACTTTGGCTCCTTCATCACCCGCTCCATCGCAATTCAGTACCCTCAGGTCGTGCGCGCACAGCACCTGAACATGTTCCCCGTGCCGCCGCCGACACTCTGGTCCGCTCCGCTTGCGTATCTGCGCTGGTGCTTCTCCGCGCTCACGTACTCTGATTTCGAGCACAGAGCGCTGCAGGTACGCTGGAACTTTGAACAGGATCAGAGCGGGTACTTGGAGGAGCAGAAGACGCGGCCGCAGACGCTGGGGTTTGCGCTGGGCGATTCTCCGGTTGGTTTGCTGGCGTGGTTTGTAGAGAAGTTCCATGACTGGGCGGATGTGTATGAGGCTTTGAGTGACTCGGATTTTATCACGTTGGTGATGATGCATTGGGTCCAGGGCGCGACTCCGGCCCTGCGGTTTTATCGGGAAGCTTTTGGTCGTGGGATGAACGAGGCGGGGAGGACGTTTGAGACATATGTCTCGATTCCTACTGGTGTGAGCATGTATGCAAAAGAGCAACTGCACGTAAGTCAAAAGAAGCTAAAAGAAGACCCTGTCTGATACAGATTGCTAACGATTACTCCAACAGTGTCCCCGAGACTGGGCCACCCAGGCCGCTAACATCCAGTACTGGAGAGAATATGAGAAGGGCGGACACTTTTCGTCTCTGGAAAGGCCGGAATTATTCGTGAAGGATCTCCGGGAGTTTATCTCCTCGTCTGTTGTTCTCAAGTCATATCTTCGCGAGTAGATAGACTACTAGTGCAAGAAATAAATCGAAGATGAATAACATTTATTATTGTTGCATATCCTACCCAAACCCCCATAACATCCTCAGCGCAGCAGCACGATCCGTAGTCTTCCAACCAGTCTTACGCTCAATACGAGCTAATTGTTTCAGAAGCAAAATCTTCTCAGCAGCATACTCCTCCTCATCCGGCCCCATTTCGTTTAGTGCAGATGACGTATAAGGGCGCCGCTCCGATGATATGTCTGAGCCTGCTTCCTCGGGGCCCGGAGCTGTGCGGTTACCGACAAAGACTGTACCTGCGATGTACAGGGGTTGGAGATGATTTACCCAGTTTGCGCTAGTTGGGGATTAGCAAGGGGATACAAGGGTTACTGGGAAGGTCACTCACTGCGATGAATTTGACATGGAGATACCAGCAAGCTCGCGCGCATGCCAGAGCGTGTTATCCTGTGTAGACATGTCAGGACTCTGCCGTCTGATATTCTGATACGAATCACTCACAGTATCTTCCAGGAGAGACGAAGAATTTTCTGTAGGAATCTGGAGAAGCCCCGTCTGCAAGAGCAAAATAGAACCAGTATGATAAAAAGTATTGCCGCAAACTACGCAAATCATCCCGTCAGTATGATAGTGTACCATAAACCAAAATAGGGACGACTCACTGGAAGATGCATGAGTGTAAACAATCGTAGGGAATACTTTAGAGGAAGCCGAAGAATCCCTCAGCAGTGGACAGACCTCCTGCGGACGAAGCTGGTACCACTTCTGAAGTTCATCCCATAGACTTGACACGGAAGTGGCCAATGCAGGCCGATATCCCTTGTCGGTATGTAGTAAGTTTACGATCTTGGCGAAGATCAAGATGACCAGGTTGCAATAGTCGTCCACGTTGCCTTTGGTCATCACGGATTCGATGGACATGTCATCTACCCAAAAATCGGTAGGGATGAGGGTTGTCTTCCCGCTTATGAAGGCGGCCCATACATCTATCAAACAGTTGGTTACCATGCCATCAGCAATTATGGACTCGCCTATGCCACCTACCAATTCGAGCAAATGCCCAAAAGCAAGCCTTCACAATACCCTGGCTCGAGCCATTCCACTTCTTAGCCTGGAGGAGGCTAGCGCAGCCCTAACAGAGCCAAGAGTCAGATAGCCATTATAACCAACGAGATCCAAGCAAACCTTCAAATGCCGTCGCCATTCATGAACCCCAGATGCCATCATCTCATATACACAGAGCAAAGTGCAAGTTGCCAGCAGAGACGCATCTGCTTTAGCAGGATCCTGGCGAAGAAGCAACTGGACAGTATATTGGTACAGCTCGAGTGTGATTGGCCGTTGTCGATGTTCGACATGGTCCAACTGACGCGACGCCAGAGACATTGCAGCAGCGGTAAATGCAGCGGACTTCATTACTTCGTGGGTACTCCGCATAGTGAAGTGCATATCGGAATCCGTCGTCTCGCACCAGGTACCGGTTTCTTGCATGTATGAGCAGATCAGACGCACCTTCTCCGCATTCGATACAGGCAATGAGGGTTCCGGGGGTAGGGAGATATCATTGGTTATTGCCTGACCGAGGAAGAAAGGTGGGGCGTATTTCGAGGTGTCAAGGACTATGGGGCCACTAAAGGTCCGAGGGCGTGTCGGCTCTGGCAACGAAGGAAGTGCCAGGTCCCAAGACGGCCCTGCCGGGATTTCAACTGCCTGTCTGGATAGCAGGTCATCTATGTGGGGTTCAGTATCTGCTATCCCATCAGCCTGCTGCTGAGTAGATTCGTGTGCATGGAGACCGGAATCGGATTTGCCCCAATCACTTTCCAATCCGAGATCGCCGCTCCCTGAAAAGGTCAACGCTGAGGCATCATGTGTAATAAATCCTTCGTTATTATCGTCATCGTCATCCTCTACACCCTCACGTGACCGGGACGGATCCGAATCCGACATAGAAGGAGATTGCGCATTATCAAGAGTGTTATAGCTCTGCACAATGCCCTCCGTTTCGTCAATAATCTAAGCAACCAATCAGCTTCCATCCGCATGGCTTTGAGACAGCAAGTTGAAGCGAACCGTAGGAACATCCCGAGCACGTCGCGATGAATGATTCCGCCGCTCTTCAAACGCCGTCAAGGCAGCCGTCTCCCAATGCGACAAGCAAAAATTGCGCGAAGGATGGAAAGAGACTTTCAGCCCCCATTGGCAAATGTATCCCTTCGACTCACAATTTCGACATTGTGGGCGGGCACCATCACCTGTTCAGCCACAAACCCAAAATGGCAAGTCAGCTAATTTATTCATAACATTTCCTGGACAGTGCATAGTCCATACACTTCCGGCGCCGATTGCGGCATGGCAGGCTAGCAGTACTCAAGTTAGCATGGGGTACAGGTACTCTCTACGGACAAGGCGGATACATACCAACCAGACCTGGACCGTTTTCTCTTGACAGCCATTTTCCTAATGTGTTTACCACCACTGCCCATGCACTGTGGATTCTGGGAAAGGCAAGAAGTAATAGTTTAGGAAAGAGGCAATATCCCCTGACGGTAACCCGCCAGTTAGAGGAACAGGCAACTAGGCAAGTGGTGACTAATTAGGGCCATTTTGCAAGTTCCAATTTATCCTACCGTACCCTTACTCTGTAGAGTAAGTACCATGTGGCTGTTGCATTCGCGGGGGAAAACAGGTGCTCTACATCATCCGCCGCCAGATCAGGTGATCTGCATTTGACTAACCGAATCGGTAAGTTACCGGGTTCGGCACGCTTATGAGGGCAACTGGAAGCGCCGGGGAAACACATGCTATTCACATAGTATACAGCCATAGTAACAGGGTATACATCAAAGTATCAGTGAGACCAAACCTTCCTCAATCATGATGAGACTAATCGGGTAAGTTCATGAATTGCCTGAGATTGAGGCTAATACGCTTATAATCCTTATAAAGGCTGCTCTTCAACAAGATGGAATTTACTTCAACAAACAGGAAATGCTACAGCTTCCAGTCTATCTCCTCTTTACGTCTCTTCCTGAATTCCTCGCATAGCTTCAACAATGAGCCAGTCCAAAGAAGTCATCATCATTGGCGGCGGTGTCTCGGGCCTAGGAATGGCCGTCCAACTGAGACGAAACCTAAGCCACGACAACTTCACGCTCTATGAGAAATCGGACAATATCGGTGGTACATGGTGGCATAACCGGTACCCAGCGTGTGCGTGTGATATTCCGAGTCATCTGTACTCGTATAGTTTTGCTATGAAGCATGACTGGAGTACCATGTTTCCAGGACGAGATGAACTTCATAAGTGTACGCCCCTTCTCCTATTGTTTCTTGATAAAGAAATGAGTATAACAGAAAGTATAGACTTCTTTTCCGTGGCCCAGAAATATAACATCCTACCACATTGTCGATTCAATGCCATATGCGTTAGTCTGGTCTGGGACGATGCCCGCTGTCTATGGGTGTGCACTTTCCAAAACACTATTTCCGGGGAAGTATTCAAACGAGAAGCTCCTGTCGTTGTCAGCGCAGTCGGTACTCTTGACCGGCCATACACCCCTAACATTAAAGGATCAGAGTCGTTCCAGGGCAAGATCTTCCACAGCGCGACATGGGACGATAGCTTCCAGGCTAAGGGGAAGAAAATCGCTGTCCTGGGTAATGGAGCCTCTGCTACGCAGTTTCTCCCTGAGTTGGCCAAAAACATAGGGCCGAAGGGCAAGGTGATGCAGTTCGTCCGCAGCGCGCACTGGTGGACAGAGCGGGTAAGCAAGATCTCTCAAACCATATAACAGACAACGAGGGCTAATTAGTATGAAACCAGGGCAATCAAACATACTCAGAAGCATTCAAACTCGCTTTGAAATACATCCCCCTCGCCGCCCGCCTTTACCGCATAATCCTCGCCTGGCAACTCGAATCCGTCTTCCCATCCTTCTACATGAACTCCCGCGGCGCAGCCATGCGCCAGAAAATCCGCGAAAACACATACCGCTACATCAACACCGCCGCACCCCCGAAGTACGGCGAAATCCTAAAACCAGACTACGAACCCGGTTGCAAGCGCCGCGTCAACACAGCAACTTACCTAGCCAGCCTCCACTCGCCCCAAATGCACCTAACAAAAGACTCCGTTGTCAAAATCGGCCCGAACCACATCGAAACCGCAGCCGGTCACTGCCACGCTGTCGACGCTATTATCTACGCAACGGGCTTTCAGACGCAGAAATGGCTGTCCCCGATTCAGATCAAGGGCGTGGACGGCAAGGACTTGCACAGTATCTGGGACGCTGCCGGCGGCGCAGAGACATACAAGGGCACTGTGGTCAGCGGGTTCCCGAACTTCTTCGTCCTGTACGGTCCCAACGTGGGAACGGGCCAGCACTCTGTTATCTTCCACTCGGAGTGCCAGATTAACTTCACCTGTCGCCTGCTGCGGCCTGTGCTGACCGGCAAATCAGAAGCCATCATGGTAAAGCCTGAGGCGCAGAAACGTCACCTCTCATGGGTGCATGGCAAGCTGCAGCATCTAGTATTCAATAGCGGGTGTCAGAGTTGGTGGATGGACCCCGTTACCAAGCGGAATACATTTATCTATCCGGATCCTATGTGGAAGTACTGGGTTCGGACGATCTTCCCGCGCTGGTCGGATTTTGTGCTGCGTCGGGGTGCTCGGAAGGATGGATTCTTTGGTCGGGTTTTTTCGATTATGGTTATTTCTGCTGGGGTGGTGGCTTTTGCTGTGAATTCGCCGTCGGTGGATGTTGAGAAGGTGGTGGCAAGGGTTGTTGGTTGGTCTTCGCGGGCTGTTAATTGGCATTAATAGCTTCTGTTCTGTGTATTTAGTTTTATGCCAATGCAAGCTTATGTTTTATAACTCTTGAACTTACCATTCTTTACATCCGTACACGGTAGGATATCGTAAAAAAAAAAAAGAAAAAGAAAAGAAAAGAAAAGAAAAGATGTTGAACCGTTCCGGGGCAATCGAAATTTTCAAACATTTTCTCTAATTCAGACTAAAGAATCCAGGACAGTCATCAATTCCACCAGGAAGCTGTAACCACTGTATACAGGGTTGCATAACGACTACCAGACACATTATTCTATTCATTCACAAAAGTAGCGCTCTCCCTCCTATCTATATCCAAAATGCCACCTCAAACCTTATAAACAATCTTATAAGCCGAAATCTTCCCATCCCGATACTCCTGAAATCCATCGCCAACCTTATCCAAACCAGACAATACCTTAGGGTTACTAGGCTTAACAACACCTTTATCCAACCACTCGGGGACCTTCTCAAGCAGCTCACTGCAGAGTTCGTGATCCGCTTTCGAAGCCTAGATCATGTTAGTTTCAATCCGAAGTTCAAGCTTTACCCTCCGAAAGTGTAAGGGCAAAAGGGTAGGGGAACATACAGGCCACTTAAACTCCCCATACGCATGATCCTTCAAGAAAGCCGTCCAAACCAACACATCAGTAACCTTGGTACCGTCGGCCACATTCTCCGTGTTCGCCTTCCCAGGCCGCACAGTACAAAGACCCCCGTTTCCAGCGAGTAAATTCGAAGCAGTCGCAGACGAAGTCGACTGCCCGATCGTATCAAAGACGTATTTCAAACCAGGGGCGGCTTTCTTGATTTTCTCAACGAACTGCGGATCCTTGTAGTCGAAGATGTGCTTGGCGCCGTAGGAGCGGACCAGATCGGCGTGTTTGGGACTGCATGTTGTTACTACATTCAGGCCGGTAATTGTGGCGAGTTGGATGGCGTAGAGGCCGACGCTTGCTGTTATCCATGTAAACATTGTGTTTTGATTGTAAAGGATAAGGACAGGAGACGGGACTTACAGCTACCACCCCAAACCAACACAGTAGCACCGCTTGACCTATCAATGGCAAGACAATCCTTTGAGAACAGTGCAAGCCACGCCGTTGCCGATGCCAGCGGAACAGTACTAGCATGTTCACGAGAAAGAGCGCCAGGGACCTTGAACGAGATGCGTTCGTCGGCTAGACAGTACTGGCTGTACCCGCCTAGGCCTTTGATCTCACCTACACGACATGAATAAGTACTTATTCACCCCGAAAGAGGGGCAAGGGTGCATACCTCCCCACACCAACCCCGCAATAACATCCCCCTTCACATAGCGGGTAACACCATTTCCCAGTTCAACGACTTCACCAACGAAATCGCATCCGAGGACGGCTCCGTCGCCGAATGCGTTGGAGTCGAAGGCTTGGACTGGATGGTGTTAGCACATATTACCCAGCTTTCCCAATTCCCAATGATATTCTCGGGATTTTAAGGAGAGTGCATACCATCAGTAGGATTCTGCGCAACATGCGATATCTTAACAAGTACCTGGTTCGATTCCGGGGATGGGATCCGGATGTCCTCTTTAGAAAGCTTTGGGGATTGGCCGTCGGGGACGCGGACGACGACGGCTGTGTTCGATTTGTCTCCGGGCATTTTATTGTTGTATTCTTATTATTCAATAAATCGATAAGTCGATAAGTGGAATATTGATACTAAGAAGCTAAAATGTTGTGTGTGCTACAGTCAAGATATGCAATACATATAAATACCAGAGCATAAATGACGACACCGATCACAGAGATACAGAAAGGCAAGTGGAAGCGCCGGAAAGTGGATGCACTCTCAATGCAATATTTATATTAATAATTCTCCAATTCTATGCACAAACAAATTGGAAGTGTTCAAGGTGTATTTGCCTTGGTGTACGGAGTATGGAGTACTCCGGAAACTACTTTCTTTCATAGGCCACCTTATTGTACACTCGAAACAAAAGTAGCGCCCGGGTCTTAATCACTTTGGATTGTTTCCGGAGGGGCTAAATTTGTTAGCCCTTCACCCTAATGAGATCTGTCGGACATGCTCGCATCGCCCTAAATCGCAATCTAAAAGAAGGTGGATTAGAGTTAATGGATGCTGCAAGACACAATCTAAAAATCATTCACAAGCCACATTCATTCTACCCATACCCATTGCCATTCCTCGAACAAGCAGACTATTTGATTAAGATGGCACCAGTTACCCAGGTGCCAACCCCACAAAATATCCAGCATGATAGCCACTAGCAGGCTGATTCAATGGATATTGACGACCACACCACGCCTACTCCAGGCGATTACCCCGTCGACGAGACGACTACTCAGGGAGGATTCCCTGACGATACACCATCGACACCGATTCGAGGGGGGGACCAATCAAGCCCCCAGCCTCAGGAACAAGACTTTCATTGACAGCTCGCACAGACATATTGGCGAGAGACCAAGAAACTGCACGGACGAGATAATTATTCTGATTGGCGAAAAGGCATATTGTTTGATGCTGATTATTTGGGTGCCTGAGACATCCTACTCCAACCGGACACTGTACCGAAGGCAACTTCCCTTCAACAGATCCGATTTGAAACTTCCAAACAGCTACTGCATAAACGGATATTGAACTGTTTGACGTCAGATATCGCCGATCAGGTCCAAATGGACCATACACAGCAACCGTCCGACATTCTGTCCCGATTGGACACGATATATGGCATATCACCTGCCGAAAAACGCCTTCTTTTGGTGAAGACGCTTCTAAATCTGAAGCCCCAGGGCAATTATATCACAATGATGCGGCAATGGCAGAGAATCTCTACTGAATTAGAGCAACAGGACTATCCGATTTCGGAAGTTTGCCATGACATTGGTATAATCCTATTGGGTGAACATCAGCGCTCATTCATGCGCACCCAACTAGACCACTTCCTCATTCAATCAAAGAGGAATCAATCACATGAGATTGATATGGCCGCGATAATCGACCAATTGGAGAGTCGTACACCATCTGCACCCGGCCATTACAAACCCCTGTCATACACAATTTATTGACAGGAACCTTGGGGCCACACACCCCAAATAGATAATCAACCATCCAAGGGGGGGGGGGACAAGAAGAGTCAGCCAATCACAGGCACTTCATTGGACCCTTCTCCACCCCAGAAACCGTCCAACAAGCAATCAAAGTCATCATGACTGTGTCCTCATTGCAAATGAGGATATCACAAAGTTGAACAATGCTGGGTACTAGACCCAGAGCTCCGCCCACCAAAGGAGAATCCTCCATCAAATGGCACATCATCTAGTGATGGTAATCAACCAAAGCCTATCACAGGCATAACTGGTGCTGCCAATTTAGTCCATCCAGTGAGATGATCAGACAACTGGATATTGGACACAGGAACCACATGGACTATCCACAATGATAAGTCTGCATTTAACAGTTATATGCCATTGACTATGGCATCACCTGTTGAATTACCTGATGGCAGTACTCATCGCGTTGAAGGAGACAGGACTATCAAACTGCCAATTGGAGAGCACATGGTGGAATTGAAGAATGCCCAACATGTTCCTACTTTGCATGCTCATCTATTATCCTTTAACCAGCTTGAGGATCAAGGCTTTCATATCAAATTGACTGATGAAAAGCCTTACCGATTTCAAATCATCACTCCAGATAAATCAGCATCTTTTCTGATTTCTCGAACAACAGACAAAGGCATGTTTAATCATCGTGAGAAGGAGACAGGAGCGATAAATGTGGTTAATGATGCAAATGATCGACCAGAGAATAAATCACGTAATTTGACGCCAAATTGGCCACCACCAGCATCTATTGAGATGTGGCATCATCGCCTATCTCATATGAATCAACATTATTTGCAATACCTCCACCGAGTTGGACGAATTAATATTCAAGGGAAGAAACTCCTCCCTATCTGTGATTTTTGTTGACGAGCGAAGACCACCCGACATATGGGTACTGATCCTACCTCTAGGACCACGTGCCCTGGCTGACGATTACACATCGACATCTTTGGAGGCGGGCAAGCCTTGGGCCTGCCATCAGGCGATGACGTTCCACCTGCAAATGGCAAATACAAATGACCGACAACGCGACGTGGATGAGATGGGCTTCTCCTTTGGAGAATCATACGAATCCCAATCATCACATCCATACCCATATGGATTTCCTTCGACGTCTCAGATATGAAACGGCCTACCCGCGCGGAGATGGCGAGTTCTTCAAGAATCCGCGTGAATGGGCAGGCATAAAGATGGAACCATCAGCTCCATATTCACCCTGGCAAAATGGTGTCAGTGAACGAGGAATTCAAATTATCTTGGAGAGAACTAGGGCAGTTTTATATGCCTCTGGCTTACCTCATTGATTTTGGCTAGAAGCCTTGATGGATACCACCCAAAAGGCCAACTATCTGCTCACTTCAACACCATTCTTCAATGACTCTACCCCGGACGGCAATATCTTGGACGAGAATATCAAGAAATCACCATTTTACTTACCCGCTGAAGCGTGGGAGAACTGTCTGGTGAATATCTCCTTTTATTGCCCATTCAGGGCGAAGATATGGTATCACTGTCATGGTACTGAAAAACCATCTGACAAGATGGACACGCGCGGAGCGTACAGTCTACTTTTGACCAACCTATCAAGTACAAATCAGTTAGTATGGAGTGTTGACAAGGACTCAATAATTCATGTTACAAACGGACGAGTAGATGAAGGGGATATCTCACTTACTGATCCAACATTCACTCTCCAACCTACCTCACTCACTTCCTCGACCAATGGGAAGATTCCTCCCATCCAACCTTATTCAGACGACAACCCATCTGATGATGCCATGATACACCCTGCAAAAGGCTTTGTAGCCTATGTTGCCGGCGTCACTTCTTGTGATATTCCAAGAGCTATGAGATGCGCTTTGGAGCGAAAGGATAAGAATAGATGGCTCAAGGCCATGCAGCATGAATTCTCTAAACTGCAGAACAAAGAGATATTCGAGCTAGTATGAATTAGTGACGTTCCAAAAGGAAAGCGAAAATTTCCGGGCAAATGGGTATACAACAGCAAGGAGGACTACCCACCTGGTGATGAATGGTCTTATAAGGCCCGGTGGGTAATGCTTGGCAACCTGATCGAGAAGGATGATATGCAGTATAACTACTGCAAATATGCCCCAGTGGTATCCACAGCAGTTACCCGACTACTTTTTGCTTTAGCCGCTGCATTTGGATGGAAATCGCGAAAACTCAAATGTCGCTGTAGCATTTTTGAATGGCGATTTGATAGATGAAATATATATGCGACAACCGTACGCGACAACCGTACGGGTTTGAGCAAGGCGAAGGATTAATATGGCGATTGAAGAAATTGATATATGGCCTGGTTCCGGCCGCACGTATTTGGTATGACACTCTTACCGTCGCACTTCATCGTCTAGGCTTCCGTACATGCTCGTATGATTCAGGCCTATTCATCCACCAAGAACGTCGACACCTATATCTCACCACCCACGTCGACGACTTTCAACTCGTTGCTGAACGCGATGAAGATATTGAATGGATGAAGGACGCTCTAGCCAGAGAGTGGGAAATCAAAGATGCTAGCGATATGACGTACTACCTTGGTATGGAAGTAGAATTCGTCAATGGACACATCGACTTACTCCAGCGCGAGTTTATCAAGGATCTTGTCCAATCATTCGGGCTTGACAATGCCAATCCTCAGACAACACCTCTCAACTGAGGGAACGAAGCGTTCAAAGCATATCGACGTACGATACCATCACATACGGGACCTACAATCATTGGCTCTTGTTAGCGTTGAGGGAATACGCTCCCAGGATAATCCAGCTGATGGACTTACCAAGATCCAAAGCACACTCAAGCATGGGCATTTCCTTCACCTCGTCAATATGGACCGCAATCATCTACATCCTACTTCGGATGGGAAAGCGATGCCTTTATGTACCGTTAATTTTCCTGGCGTGCTAATTCAGCGAGCCAATGATCAGCGACTAGTTTGTCTGCTATTTGGTTTTTTGTTCATCTGCTTGATTTTGTATGCGATTCTTTGTGTATTTAGAGCTTTCGATCCGGACATCTGCTCGTTCGAGGAGGGAGGGGTACCCATCGGGTTACGTGTCTGACCGCCCTCGCTTTCTGCCCGGTAGTTAGATAGTTAGCTTAGCCGATAGGCCACCAACCAATCAACCATTCACCACACACCAAAAGGGTACTAACACAACAACGGTAGTATCATCTGACCGTACTCGTTGGTTACGAGATTCTTTCCGTTGCACAATATGTTCGGCCCTCTCTTTTATCTGTTGCCAGTACAGAGTACGCACTAGGCTTGAAGACCAGGTCTTGTTCGGTGTCTTTTGTCAAGATCCGATTATTGAGGGTCACCTAAGCACCTTCCACTCGACGAGATTAGTCTACAGATTTAGAAGAGGAAGATAATATTAAAAAAGCAAACCTGGATGAGTGCACTAGAACTAGACCGATCCGTCCTGGGTTGTTCCGTTCTCCGTCCTTCCTTTCTGGGCCCTAGCCGGGCCCTAGCCGGGCCCTACTCAGATAAACAATCCAGGAAATGTGTTGTCTGTTTTGTAATAGCGGGGGGGGGGGGGGGGATCTCGCCATCCATGCCGTTAAGGGACTGGTAGCGAGGGTTTTTAAAAGGTACTAGTTTCGGCCCCACACTTTTCCTGCCAACGCTGTTCTCAGATCTACTCGCTCAGCAGGGGGAGATTACAGCACATGATTACACAAATACTCCGTAAAATAGTAACTATGAAATGACCTGCTATTTATCTTGGAACAAAAAGCATCTTCGTCGCAGGCCGGGATGACGGACACCTTGTCATCATTCCGCTCATTGTCACAGTTGCAAACCCCTCGCCAGGGGGGCAGCCATGCGAACTCATGCTAGACGTATGCAATGCGCACGCATACGCCATCCCGCATATGAATCCTTGCTAGACCACGATACAAACCCCCCCCCCCCGGCGCTAACTTTGACCAATCATATGTGCCTGGTGGAGCATTAACAGGAGTTGAGACTGGTATTTGGACTTGTAGTTATCCTTGTTCTTAACTGGAAGCATTCATTTATCCTTGCTTATATTTCTTGTCGCTATTTCGGAGATTTCGCAGCGGACGTCGAAAATGGATCCATTGAGCATCACGGCCTCGGTGCTGGCTGTTGTTACTGCTGCCGTTCAGTCTACCAAGTCGCTGTATGATACCGTCAAACGCTTCAAAGAGCGCGACAAAACTTTACACAGACTCCAAAATGAGCTTGAGGATCTCGCCAATATTTTGGAGTCGTTGGCACAGGTGACTGATTCTGAGATGTCAATGTTGGCGCTTCTTCAAAATCCTATCAACCGGTGCAGCCAAGTATGCCGCGATTTTGAACAGTCGATGAGGGGTTTCAGTGGAAAATCAATGACAGGGTTTCGAGATTGGGCAAAGATGGAATTTATGAGAGGCAGTATCAATGAATTCATAGACACTATCGCGGGGTATAAATCAACCATCTCAGTTGGTCTGGGAACTATTACTATGTTGGTTACAATTCCTTGTCTGCTACGCGCTTTTTTGCTGACTTGTTTCCATAAGACACGCCTCCAAAGTCTCCCACCAAGTTCTTCAGGAGTACAATGAGATGATCCAGGACACGGCATATAATCTTGAAGTTCACTTACAGCGGATTGATGAGAAAATGGCGCGGTTTACCATTGAAGAAACAAAAACCCCAGATATAGACATAGATCTGAAGGACGAGAGAGAAGTGACCCAACAATGCCTTCGTATATGTGAAGATGCGAAGTCTTATATCGAATCCTTGACCAATCGAGAATCATCCGTACTGCCAAACACGCCCAAAAACGCTACTGCTGAAGATGGTGATACGGGAACTTGCTTTGAAGCGCAGCTGCTGACACGTCAAGCTCTGGAAGAAAATCAAAATGGCTTTGCGGAGACCATCCACCTCCTTCAGAAGCGCCTACAGTCCTTGATCCTGAACAAGGATAGAAACAACGAGGAGAGGTTGGGGTTACAGGAAGATATCCATATTTCGAAACAGTGCCTTGAGGTGTGCAAGATGGCCAGCGAAGTGTCCCATCAGAAGATATACAGAATTGGGGAGGTGGTTGCCGAAGATGACAGTGATACAGTGATCAAGTGGTGGTGACTACTTTGGCGGATCTATTTGATATCAAGAAAGCTATGTCCAAGGGAAATGCAGCACAGTTGGTCGGCTCAATGACGGAAGGAGCTCTTCGGCATCTGGCCGACAAGCGTTATAACAATCGTTTTGGAGTTCCAGTCAGCGACTCTTACCCTGTTGAAGCCGGCATCAGCAGCTCGCCTTCAGTCTCTGAGACTCAAAGGAGTAGGTCTGCTTTTCCACCTCAAACTGGTGATTACGAGCAGTCCCCTGGACCGAAAACAAGACGTACTAGGGCATTTCCCAATGAGATGAGAAAACGGGGAATGGGTGGCGCAGCCGATGGAGGATGCTATCAATGAGCAAACAGGATTTGAGCCTTCTTGTGCAAAAGCATTATTTTATTGTCTATTCAAAGTCAATGAGTAGGCGTTTAATGGTGCCCTGGATTGAATTATCTGATTGCAAGTCCATGTGATAACTGACGAACCTCTTTTGTATTGGCTGGATAGAAGGAAAATACGGCAATCTTCCAAATCCAACTGATAATAAGAAAAATGTTTCTATGAAAAGGTCACCTTTCAGATTAGAAAAGAAATGCAGAACTCTTAAAATGATCAGTATACGATGACCCAGTTTAGCAGGGCGCCCAAAATGGCCATCGGTAAATCTGCGCTTCATCACCTCGCGCTGCTGTTGATGACCCACATGGATTCAAGAGCCTCTTTGGCTTTTAATTAGTAGCCTGTATATGCGCGTTGCCTAAAGAAGTGAATCACAAGACATAACTACAGGGCATGAGCAGGTCGTATGCGCCGGTTTATAAAGTGAAGAAGAAAAAATATATATATATATATATATATATATATATATAGAAGGCTTTCAGATAGAAAACTCCCTCAGAATCATCACGGGAATGTTACAATTTTGTCGAAATTATCTGCTTTTCTGATAAGGGTTGCAGCAACCGTTTCTGATAGCCCCTTCATGAACTGGTCAATGCATTCAGCCTTCTCCCTCTCCTGATCCTCGAGGGTCAACGCAGTCGGTGTATTATGTGATTTAGGCTTGTATTGAGATGTTAACATCCATATAGACCACTTCCGAATAACGGCAACTGCTTCCTCGGAAGAACATTGAAACTATTCGATGTGTGGCTTCAGACAGCCATGGCAATAGATCCTGATATTGCGATACTTCAGTTCTGCATGACATAGAGCCTCCACTCGAAGATTCGGGGGGAATGGAATACAGGGCCTTGGGTTCTGTTACAGTCAAAAGCCCATTTTACGATGCTTTTCTAAGGAACGAGTGTAAACAATTTTGAAAAACCCTCCGTTCCCTTCAGCCTCATATCAGACGCTTCTAGAGTAACTAATCCGTACTTTCTGGGACTCAGGTGAAGTTCGGGAATAAAGAGATTACTGCAGGATTTATCCCAGAGAACTGATTCTCGATGAGCAGCTCTCCGTGACCTGGAGCAGGTATTTCCTGACATTGGCGAACAGCAAAATTCCCATTGCTATCCACATAGAGGGTGGTATTTTGGTTTTCGAATGCCATTGTAAACGCGTAAAGGGAAGGTTCAACCAGGTTTAGGCAGTTGACAGCAAAATGGAGGAGATACAATAGGAAAACCAAGACCAGAACAGTATTCACATTATTCTAAGAGTACTTGTATGCACTTGCCCACAGGTGTCACTCGTACCGGGGCTGCAAAAACTATCACCCCATCGGATCAGCGGTCACGACTCCGGTGGGTGTGGCTTCGGTCCGTTAACTCCACACGTTCCGCCGGGATTGCCTCCAGGAAAGAGTCCATTTACATACAAATTTTTTTAATCATTCTGAAGTTGGCACATACGACCATAGGGTGTGGAGAACAGGGCTTCCCGTCCGCTCAGCCGTACTTAAGCCACACGCCGGCCGGTTAGTAGTTGGGTGGGTGACCACCAGCGAATCCCGGCTGTTGTATGTTTTTTTTTTTTGCCTCGCTCGCGTAGCGAGTGAGGCTGTATTTCTACTCTGTTTATGACAATGACCTAGAGCACTAGTTGGGTGAGGGTGAGTGAGTGTTGGGGTGAGCAGAGCTATGCAAAACCAAACAGTGCATTTAAAAAACTATTTGGCATGCCACAATCGGATGCAGATTGGCGCCTGGTTATTGAAGCACTGTTGAGCCTTGCCAGAACTGCTCATATAGACCGTGATCTTACCGCTTCCTACTGAATTTTCGAACACATTCATTATTTGACTGGGAAATGGGGCTTGTATAAGGAGAAAGACATGGATTCAGTTGATATAATGACTTCTTCGGCTTCATTGATGGATAATATCGTACTTTGTGCTGAAACCGAGGAAAAATCGTCGTCCGTTCAAGCCGGCCAGAAATCATATGAGGAGGCAAAAATTTCTAGGGAACGTGTCTCTGCGATTTGTATGGAACTGGAAGGAGCCGACAGTGTTCGATACTTGATGTCTAAAATGGCACTCGCCAATTCTTATCAAAAGGTTCAAAATTTCCGGATGGCGGAGAAAAGTTTTGAAGAGGCTTTTGCGGGATTTGAAAAGACTGTGGGAGAGTACGCTACGAAGACATTGAAAGCTTGCCAGGCCCTTGGCCTGCTCCATTTTGCCAAGAGGGATATGGAAAAGGCCAAGGAATATTGCGAGAAGGCTTTCCAAGGATTTCAGAAGCGACATGGGACCTCCAACCGCCTCACTGCCAGGGCAGCGTACGAACTCGGCACTGTCTACTATCAAAGTTTCAGGTTCACCCAGGCAAAAACGGCATTTCAAACGGCATACGAAGGATACATGCAAGACTTCAAAGAGCCAAAAAAGTTTCACAAAGCTATCACGTCGGCAACGGTTGATCTAGCCGAGTGTTGTGCAGTCCTTGGAGGTCCGACGAACGAGGGACAAGCGGAGAGCTACTACCAGCAGGCATTGAACGACATTCAAACATACGGTATTCAAATATACGGTAATTTCCAGGCTGAGGACGATCTCTTCCGTGTGAAGCTCAAGCTAGGTGACCTGTACAGACAGAGGCAGCAGTTCAAGCGCGCAAATCCCTTGATTACAGATGCTTATAAGCACTTCAGTCGTGACCCACAAAAAAGGGATCATCCTTATTGTGTGGAGAGGTGGGAGGCGACGCTACGGCTCGGAGAGCTGAAATTGGATCTGGGCAATTTGCGACCCGAGGAATACAAGAAAGACCCTGTACACTTGATTCGGGATGCTAAAACAAATTTGGAAGAGGTCGCTGGGAATAAATCCCCGCTCACCCTTCAGGCAGCTATCCTCCTGGGTAAAATCTGCTTGGAGGAAAATTGTATAGGTGGATGTGATGGAGAAAAAGAGCTCGAATGTGCTTTGGGCCACTGTGAGAAGGCGTTACCACCTGGATCCCCTATGACAATCAAGGCAATGGACTGTCTTGTAAACCACTGGGTAAAGCATAAGAATAAAAAGCATGAAATCGATAACATGACACAACGCAAATGGAGAGCTCTGAATGACGGATACGGAGTTGATACCACCATTGCCATTATGAAGATGACGGATCCCAAACGCGAGAATCATGCCATATGGAACACCAAGCTTCCCGAAGACAATAGCGATGGCGGGACTGGTGGCAGCGGCAGCGGCAGGGACATCTCAAAGAAATATCAAGCAGCTTCATTTTCTGATGACAAGAATGATCTGGATAAAGAACAGAAAAAATCCAAAAAGAGATACATTGACCCACAACAGTATACTATTGGCAATTCAAAGACGGCTCGTGATGGACAGCTTTTTCATCAGTGCAGTCCATGGTGTCAAGACTGCCCAGAAACTCAGCAGCGCCAGAAACTTCAGTACCAGGAAGACGAAAAGCGTCAGGAAGCTCAACGCCAGGAAGCTCAATGCCAGGAACAGCAGCGCCAGGAACAGCAGCGCCAGGAACAACAGCGGCACCTGGAGCAGCAGATCCCAGAACTTCGGCATCTTCGAGAACGTCAGCAGCGTCAGGAACAACAGGAGTTTCAACAACTTCAGCGGCTTCAGGAAACCCTGCAGCACCGGGAATATCAGCAGCTTCAGGAAATCTGGCAGCAACGGGGATACCAGGAGCTTTGGAAGCTTCAGCAGTGCCAGGGATATCAGCAGCGTCAGGAACTTCAGCAGCGTCAAGAATGTCAGAGATGTCTGGAACTTCAGTATGTTCAGGAGGCTCTGCAGCGCCAAGAACTTCAGCAGCATCAGGAACTTCAGCGGCGCCTAGAACTTCTAAAGCGTCAAGAGCTTGAGCAGCTTTGGACGCATCTGCAGCATTATCGCGTCGACCCCCTGGGGCAACTCATTGGGGATACTATTGCATTACCATTTCACATTATTGGGGGGGTTGCTAACATCTTGTTTCCTCATAATTGGTGAGCGAGGCATGTGGCATTTACAGTCTGGTGGTTAGTTATAATCTAAGAACGATGACGAGGGTAAAAAATACAGAGTTGTCGACACTTCTTCTATATAAAATCTGCCTATTCAATTGACCGTCGAAATAAAATAGCTAAGTCATAGGTGTTGGATGCAGTATGCTTAGAATTCGATGTTCATTTCTACCTTCGACAGAATACCAGATTTTAAATTCCTGTCTTCGCGTTTTAAATGACAAAGCCTTCTATGTCCATATGTGATTAGATACTCCTTAGAGTGTAAAAATGTTTTGGCTATAGTAGTCGGGTGAGAGCTCCATACCTGCTGTCTTTCAGTCCTATCTTATCCGCGGGGATACGGCCAGGAAGATATGCCTGCATACGCGAAAAGTCGGGTGTCCTAATTGGTCAGAGTCGATGCAATTCCGGTGATACTAACTGAAATATATCCACCTCATAGTGCAATGAGGGGGGTTGAAAGTAATTCGTTGGGCGTGACTCAGTCGCAGCCAAGTACAAGTCCTGATATCATTCCAGACAGGTACAATCCATTGTAATGTCCGGTCTGCCTCTCAGATATGCGCGTACCTCATAAAAAAAATGAAAGAGATTGAGGCTAAGGTTGGCCTTTCAACTAAGCAAGAAGTAGCTGCACAGTAGCCGCAACGCTCGCCAAAGTCATCTCAGCAGCAAAAATTAAAATCCGAGTCCTTAAGTCAGGCTTATATGTAGGTACACGCCAATATATAATGTCACTAGTCAATATAAGTTCCTTTTGCAATCCATTGACTCTAGTGTCGGCTACGATGGATCTTTTTATTTCTCTGGGAAAGATATTCCAATGCACATTTTTTGCTAATTAAAGTTATTAGAAGAGGCTGCATTGTGTGATGTTGGGTGTGGAAAACAGGGCTTCCCGTCCGCTATATATGAGCCCTTTGGCGGCAGTGTAACGCCGGAGTGTAGGACTTAGGCATTTATATGATCAAACAACCGTTTCGGCTACGAATCATTATTGGATCGCTATCGTAAATATAACTTATGCACAAAGAGGGTTTTATGTAGAGTAATGAACGAATCGCTTGATTCTCTATCTATGAGCATAATAGTCTATTTATACCTGCACGTCTCGATAGTGTGCCAATAGCGAGCCCTCATCCAGAACTGTTGACACTTTGGTACCGATGTATGCCTTATTCTCCCAGGCTACCATGCTCGCGCGGTTACATGCAGTCTGTGATGCATAATGAGCTGTAAACTGAAGTACCATGACAGCTTTTACCAACAGGATCATACCAAGATAGATGATCCACCAATCACAGCTATTCGACCGTAGGCGGGAAGCGGGTTCGGCAACAGCTCCGCCGCTAGTCTGTGGATCATGCCCTACCCCAAACAGGTCAAAGTAATCAAACATGCTATACAACTACCAAGCATCCATGCTGTGACAGTCAGCATGTTATGACAGCATGGTCCCGAGTGTATACATGTTCACCTCCTTCCTGCCACTTACAATATAAATCGTTATCGGTCTTTCTGGTCCTTGGCGCAGGTGATGCCATATATTATGGGGTAACTTTCACGAGGGAGTGAATGCAAGCAAACAAAGAAAGCACTTAGCGCGCTCACAGAACCCATATAAAACCCCTCTTTTCTTGTAGATAGATTTCCTCTTCTCTTCTTTCCCCAGATACGATATTCTCGTCGATGGCTACAATAGTTTAGATAGGAACACCGATTCATTATTATTTACTGTTCTGAGCCCGTGACAAATGCTAGCACTTGGCATATCCTCAGAGGTGGCCACAGACCCCCTCCCCCCTTAGCAGATAATGAGCCCATCATATCAACTACCAGGTGGAGCGCCATTGCGCCAATTACCCCCCTGGAGTAGAGTGTCACGGACGGCCCCGTGACCCCGCCCCGAACCCGCCCCAAACCCCGCTGGGGCGGGGTTCGGGGCAGAGGTGCTCGCCCCGCCTTTGGTTTGGGGCAGAGGTGCCCGCCCCGCTGATTTTTGGGGCACCCCGTTGGGGCGGGCTGAGTTGGGGCAGCGGGGTTTGGGGGCGCCCCAGGGCCCCGTTAAGCCCCATTACAGGGCCAAACATATAGTACTGTATGGTATCTATACTGTGTAATGATTACATCCTTACTCTGTATGCTGTGCTCCTATGGTTGCGAGTTACCCTATTATATTATGAAGAATCATGCTACGTCCCGATGAATTTTGGTCATGATGATAATTTTTAACCGCGGTAAGAATGCCTTGAAATTTTTTAAAACTATCTTGAAATCCTTGATACTCCCTACATCTTCTGGTGTTGACAATGAGGGGGAACAACTCTTGCAGTCTCTGCAGGGATGAAAAACCCCTTTTGCAACACCAAGATGAATCTGGATAAACATCAACTCAGTCTAACTAGACAATCAGTTATTTACCCTTATCAAGCCGATGAAAATATCCTGGTTCATGGATAACGCGACGTGGTCGCGTTGTTGTGGGATGAGATTGTGGGATTGAAACTTCTGGCTGGCTTGTTGTGGAATGAGCTTGTGGATTTGTGAGTGATGGATGAATAGCAGAACATCGCTGGTAAGACTGCATTGGAGGAAGGTTGAGCCCGTCATCCCCATCATCATCCTCAAATCCACCTAAATCCTCCTCGTCACTGATATAGTTGACTTCCAATTCAACATTCAAATCCTCATATCCAACATCCTTCTGCTCATCATTGTCATCATCCTCAAGAACTGTGTATTCCCGTTTCAGCTCAAAGCGGTCGGCAGACATTTGAATCATAATTGCTTCAATTGTTTCAGGCGCAAGGCGGTTACGGCAATAGTGGCAAACATCCCAAGCAGTACTGAAAAGATTCTCAACACCAACACCACTTGCTGGAACTGCAAGGAAATCACAGGCCATTTGAGAAAGGATTGGGAAACAGGGTGCATTATCACGCCACCAGTCAAGGACATTAGGAACTGAACCAAGTGGTAAGGTTGCTTTAAAGTCACCGTGGTTAGAATGATTAACAACGTCATAAATTCAAAGTAACAAAAGACTAATGCTCATCATCCAGATATCTCTGCAGTTCAATGTATTGATTATTTTGTGATTGTTTGTTGGAGTCAAATTGTTGGTTGTATCAGCGACACTTGTACTGGTGAAGAGCTCGATCAATTGCATTCAGATTGGTGGAAGATGCAGTCACTTCATTGGCCACTGGGTATCTGTTTCAGTAGTAGGAAAAGACTTTTCTTAGTACATCCTCATATTTAATGGACCAGCTCACTCCTGAGCCACCATTTTCTTCCCAACTTGCTCCGTGGAAAACAGAAAGCTTTTGGCATGGGTCAAGGACAGTGCCGATTGCATAAATAACACCCTGAAATTCATATGTCTTTCCATAATAATCTGAAAGCTTTCTGTGCGCTGCTGACAAACCTTGGTAAAGCTGCCTTTTCCATGGTCGCTGCTTGTTTTCAAGGTGATGCTGATTATCCTCAATGTGATTGAAGAGGCTGTTGTAGATCATGTACACCTTAAATAGATATTAGCAAAGTTCTAACCATGGTGAGAATTGGAACATGCCTTATGAACTGTGACTCCATGATGCTTGGAAAGACTGTTTGTAAAATAGTAGAACTCTTGAAGTAACTGAAGTAGGTACTCCACATGACGCCATTCATGTTCTGCAAGACCCAACGGAAAGATGTTGCGGTCATCAGTTGTAGTGATAAACCTTCGAATTGGCTCCCTTAGTTTATGCGCCCGTTCAAGCATAAGAAAGGTGGAATTCCAGCGAGTTTTGCAGTCTAGAAGAAGACTGAGTGTCTTAGTATTGTGTGAATCCATTCATTGATACTGTCGGAAGCTTTCCCGGCGTTGAGGGCTGGCATTAACATATCGCACAAGTTTCCGGACCTATGTAGCATTAGTCAAACAAGCATGATCACCAGAAAAAGATAGAATCAAAGCCTTACTTTTTCAAGAGTATGAATCAGTCCCTTTTCTTTCAGGTTTTTATCATCATCATTCCAGTGGATGCCAATAACATCATCATTTTGTGCATCAATCTTTAGCTCACGCAAAAAGGCATTGACAGCAAGTTGTATGACATGTGTAAGACAAGGAAGATGGTGTGGAGTGCTAAGGATAGCTTGTAGGCCACTATCCATAGCATGTTTGGAAAAGTCATGTGTGTCCAAAGTCTCTCGCAAGCCATGAGCAACATCTGGATCTAAAGTCTGGACAAGAGAATCCGTGAGGTAAACATACATTGTCCCATTGTTTCCAGCCTGTATAGTACTATTTAGTATGATCCAAGTTCCATAAGTTCTAACCACGGTGAGAGAGAGTGTCTTATAACATACATTATCAGTGGTAATATCAAGGAGGCGATGAGACAGATTATGCTTCTCCAAGATCTTCAAGAGCACTGCTCCAAGACGGTCCCCTGAATGTGACCCTTCCAATGGGGAGAAACCAAGGAGAACCTCAGAAAACTGGAAATCTGCTGAGATGAAATACCCAATAACTGCCATGAATGGTTTTTGATCCGGGCTTGTCCAGCAGTCAAGGGCAATTGAAATCTTACTATCAGAAGGAAGGGTGTCCATTGTATTTTGTTGAGAAGTATGAGCAAGCTGCATTAGCAGATCTTTCACAGCATTTCGATTGGGAAAATGCAGCTTTGTATTCGGGCCAGCAGCAAGATTCAGAAGACGTCGAAATTGTACATTTTCAATGAGTTGAAATGGGAGACGGTTACCAACAATACAATGAACCACCTGTTCCTGAAATGCCTCACAAGAGTAGGTCTGGGCTGGCGTATTTATCTGGGAAATTTAAAGAATTCCTGAATTAGTACAATCATTTGCATAGCAGTGTATTGGAGTAGACTTGACACTTACTGATCCTTTTCCAAGAAAGTCTTTGATTGAAGCATGACATTTTTGAGGATCCTGATATGTACATTGCCTGGTATTTGGGTGTCTGATCATTGTTTTGGTCCCGTTGCCTCTACCTGGATGATCAATAAAGGTCTCACAATGAATACAGCGAGCATGTGGAGTGCCATCATCAAGGCATGCCACTTCAATGAAGTGTAGCCAACCCTGAGACTGTTTTGATCCTCCCCATCGCATGTCTTTGCCTCTCTTTTCAAGCTTTCCAGCTGCTGTAGTTGTCCTCCACCAACGCATGAACTCATCTCATTTCTGTATGAACTCGGATTCAGTTGTAAGGTTCTTGTGTTCTGGATATCTGACACATTTGTTTGTTCCATGTTTATTCAAAATGATATCCAGGTCAAAGTCATGGGTTGGGCTGCTGTTCCGGTCTGCAGAGGAAGATGGCAAAGGTGTATCTGAAAAGGGATCTATTGGCAAGGTTCGCTGGCTCTCTGGAAAAGGGGAAGACTCTAAGCCAGGATAGAAAACTGTATCACTGAATGAGGATTGTGGTGCTGGTGCAGGTGAGGGATGATAAACATAAGGAGTATTTGTTGGTGAATCCATCACAGATAGCATTCATATAAACATGTTTAGAAGTCTGTGATTATTTGACTATAGAAATTTAGAAACATGACAAGAAGAAAGAGAAAAGTGACAAAAACCTATCCCCTATCCAGAGCGGAATCCTAAAACCAGTGACAAACTTTCCTGTAAATCTAACCATGGTTTGAATTTTCACATTCATCATCAGTTGCCTCTCCGTTCCCTTCCGGTTCCAAACCCTCTCCTGAATCCACATCCTCCGTCTCATTTCGCTTACGCTTCTGTCTCTCTGACTGTTTGATCACACTATTCTTCTGGATAGATCGGTTGTGCTCCTTGATCTTCGCTTGGATCTCCTCTGCCTGGCTCGTGAACATCTTTGGTCGACATTTTAGAAAGCCTGGAGTCTCCCTGGTAGTGATTGTGGTCGGCTCTGAATGATCCAAGGAAAAGGCACTCAAATCTTCAGAAAAATTGTCAATTGCATGTGTATAGCCGTACCTCTCAAGCACTTGCGCCTGGTCCTTGAGAACAATCACAGCTGCCTCATATTCCGCCTAATGAAACTAGTGAGTTTCTAACCGTGGTTGAAAGTGTGAGGGGCACTTACCTCACATTCAATCAGATTCTCTGGTCGCTTCTTCCCGCCCTTGAGCCCCCAATTGATCGTTTCCACCATCTTGCTTTTGAGGGATCGGTAGTGCCAGAGCGCACCAAAAATCTCACCCTGCTGGATCAAGCTCTCTTCCTCATCCTTGTTGAGCATTGAGGGAGTTCAACGAACTGCTTGGTTCTGTTTAAGCGTACGGCCAATCACAGGGCCCCATGGTGAGTATGGCATCTGATTGGAGACCTGAAATATGTTAATCTCACCATGGTAAGAAAAGCAGAGTCAGGGGACCTACCAAAAAACCCAAGTCATTATACGTGCTCATCACATTGGTCAGAACAGGGCCAGCAGACTTGACGACATGCTGTACAATTGCAGCCCAATTCGGGTGGAGGAAATGTTCAAAATATGCAGCTGAGTGTGACGCACTTGCAAGAGTGTCAGGGGGTGGTTTGAGCTAGAATCAGTTTTGTTAGCCAATTCATGTTCAATATTGGTAAAATTTCTGGTCAACCTACTAGCTCATTGAGTTTTGGGTCCTTCCAAAAGCCATCAGTTTGGACCTGTCTCACAAGTTCATCAATGAAGTTACGAGCTAACTGAAGACGGTCAGCATCCAGAGAAAATGGACGATCAAAATCCTTGTCTGTGAAAAGAAGGTCTTGGATCTCCATGTCCCACTGGAAGTCCTTCAGGTCATGCAATGCAGCTGCAGGGTACATCCAGTCTGGGTCAATCCATACAGCCACATGGCGAAGAATCCATTTGACTTTGTCAACTGCTTTTTCCAGGTTGCACCAATCATTCCTAGTTAAAAAGTTAAAGATACAAAAGTTACTAATCATGGGGAGATTGTAGAGGAGTTAGGGAACTGCAGCTTACCAGCATGGGCATGGGAGATTTCAATTCTCCATTAGGCGTGAAAAGATGAAGTGATAATCTTCTTCACTCAGCTCCTTAAGAAACCCTGGGCGGCGCCAGTTGAAGCGATATTCTTTGGTTTGGTAGGGGTTTGAGAGTCGTGGGAGTTGTTCATTCCGATAGTTGAGAGGCAAAGGCCAAGGATTTTTGCGCTTTTTATTATTCAACCAATAGTCCTCACAGCGTGGATAAAACAGGAGCCGAAGAGGGTAGTCTGGTCGACCAGCCTCAATACTGAGGATTAATTCCCAGTCCTCACATCGAACAAGGTGCGCAGTATGCCCGAAGATCTTTGTGGTGAAATCAAGAAACTTATCAAATTCTCGAAACCAGATCTGACCATGGTTAGTACCATCTTCAAACTTTAATATGGAAATCAACGTACAAAATCAAGTTTTGAGGAAACCATTTTTCCTCCAAGGGTCCAAGTAAAGCGACGTTCTCCATATCGTGTCATTCCATAA